TGTCTACCTATGCTGTCACAGAAGCAATTCTGCCCTACCCTATGGCAGCACAGGTAGCACCCTCTCCTCCTGCGCACAGAAGCCAGAGATCAGCCTCCACCTTGTTCAGGCAAGCCAAATGTTGGTGGATGCTGTTTAGAAACTATACATGCAGGGGCTTATTCAGAGCATGTAAAAAGGGTATGGGGGTGTCAAGCCCTTACCGCTGAAGGGGACTCCATAATATATGCTTTATTGCAGTATGATGTTGTTCATAAATTTTATAGATTTCATAGATGTTAGGGGCTGAAAAGGACCTCAAGAGATCATTGGGTCCAACCCCTGTGCCATAGGCAGGAAGTTGGCTGGGATAAAGTGACCCCAGCAAGAAATAAATCCACATGTCTTGTGAAGGAATCCAGAGTAGGTGTTTGCAACACCTCTGGAAGGGTAGTTTGTTTCCGACCCTGGACACGCACCATAAAGAACTTTTTCCTAATATCCAGTTTAATTGGCCATCCTGGAGTTTATGATCATTAGACATTGTTATCCCGTGGGGAGCTCTGGTGAACAGATGTTCTCCTAGGTCCTGATGTACCCCTCTTATGAAGTTGTAGGCTGCCACCAAGTTCCCCCTGAACCTTTTCTTCTCCAATCTGAAAAGTCCCAAATCCCTCAGCCTCTCCTCATATGGCCTTTCCTCCACGCCTTGGATCCTTTGAGTGGCTCACTCTGGACTCTCTCTAGCCTCTCCATATCCTTCCTGAACTGGGGGGCCCAATACTGGATGCAGTACTCCAGCTGTGGTCTCATCAGGGCTGAGTAAAGTGGGAAGATGACTTCCCTGGCTTTGCTTGAGATGCATTGGTGGAGCACACCAGATTTTGGTTAGCTTTGCCCTTCACCGCATCACATTGGTGGCTTATATTCATCTTGTGGTCAATCAAGATGACCCCTAAGTCCCTTTCGGTCATGGCGCTAACAATCATAGCACTGCCAAGCCTGTAAGTATGCTGAGGGTTCTTCCTACCAAGGTGCTGTATTCAAGGCCATCCGGTTTTGGTTGGCCCATCTTGAGAGTGTGTCCAAGTTGGCCTGTATCCCCAGCCTGTCCTGTGATGTGACAACCTTCCCCCATAATTTGGTATCGTCCACAAATTTGGCCAGTTCACATCTGACTCCCAAATCTAGATCATTGATAAAAATATTAAAGAGCATTGGCCCAAGTACTGAGCCCTGAGGGACTCTACTGGTAACACTGCATCACATTGATTTGCTCCCTTCAACTAGTACTCTTTGGGTCTGACCCCAGAGCCAGTTGCCTAGCCATCAGACTGTATGATGATCTAGGCTACAGTTCCCCAGCTTAACCATGAGGACATCATGGGGAACTAGGTCCAAAGTCCTTCCTGAAGTCCAGACAAATGATGTCCACATCAACTACCTTGTCCAGGGCATATGTTACCTCATCATAGAAGGAGATGAGGTTGATCAGGCAAGATCTACCAGTCACAAAGCCATGTTGGCTGGCATTCAAAAGGTTAACTTCCATTTTTTGGCATTAATGGATCCCTTGACAATTTTCTCCAGAATTTTTCCAGGGTCAGATGTCAGACTGATTGGTCTATAGTTCCCTGGCTCATCCGTCCTCCCTTTCTTGTAGATAGGGACCATGTTGGCTCTTTTTCAATTATTGGGGACCTCGCCCGAGCACCATGATTTTTCAAATATCCCTGCCAAGGGAGATGCAATGATGTCTGCCAGCTCTTTCAAGACCCTCGGGTGCATTTCATTTGGGCCCACGGACTTGTGAATATCCAGTTTCTCAAGGTGTTCCCTCACCTGATCAACATTGATTTTTGGCCTGTCACATGCTCCCAAGCTGGTTTGTTCCATTCCTGGCAGTGTGATCCTCATGGGAGGATGAAAAAATGATGCCAAAAAGTAATTTAGATTGGCCCTTCCTTGGGCATCTGATGTCAGATGCCCTGTTGGATCTTTCAGGGGCCCAATACTGTCCTTGTTCTTTTTCCTACTTCCTACATATCTAAAGAAGGACTTCTTGTTATCCTTGATCCCCGTAGCAAGTCTTAAGTCTGGTTTGTGCCTTGGCTTTTCTCGACCACTCTGCAGGTGCAGATGAGTATACAGTAATCCTCTTTGGTAATGCTTACCGTTTTCCAGCTGGTGTAGGCTACTCTTTTGCGCTTAATGAGGTCCAACAGTTCCTTATTCATCCATAAGGACTTCCTTGCTCATTGACTACATTTCTTGTGAGAAGGGATGGCTTTGCCCTGTGCTTCAAGGATTCTGTTTTTGAGTTATGACCATTCCTCATGTACTCCCTTTTTTGGAGGGGTATGGCCTCTGATTGCCTGACTGACCACTTCTCTCAGTTTGCAGAAGCCGGCCTTCCCAAACTTAAAGACTTCTGTTTTACTGAGAGGTTTGCCTGCTCTTTGGTGAACTAAGAAGCTGACCAACTCATGGTTACTGTCACCAAACTTCCCCTCGATCCACAGATCACTCATCAGGTCCGCCTCTTTGGCCAGGACCAGATTCAGCACTACCTTTCCCCTAACCAGCCCAGAGTCCTCCTAGGTTAGGTAGGGATCATGGATGCGCATGAAAAAACTACGCAACTTGTCAGATTTAGCTGTGTGATCATCCCAGGAGATGTCTGGAAAGTTGAAGTCTCCCATGATGATCAAACATCAGGACTGTGCAGCTTCAACCAGTTCCCTAATGAATTCCTGATCTAGGTTTTCCTCTTGGTGGTGGGGGTGGGGGTTATAGTAGACTCCTACAAGTAAGTCACCTTCCCTGTGTTCTCCTCGTATCTTGACCCAGAGGGTCTTAAGGTGCCCTTCCTGGTTTGGCAACTCAATCAGCAGGGAGGTGAGCTGATCTTTGACATAGAGCGAAACACCTCTAACCCTCTTCACCACACGGTCTCTCCTATATGCAGTGTAATCCTCGACTGCCACTGACCAATAATAGGTGGAGTCCCATCAGGTCTCCGTAATTCCTGCAAGGTTGTAGTCATTATCACAAAGGAGAAGGACCAGTTCCTCATGCTTATTTCCCAAGCTCCTGGCATTTGTGTACAGGCAGTTAAGTCTGCCATATGAAGACCAATGCTTCCCCGATGGGTTTAGCAGGATCTTTCCTTGGGCTGCCCAAGTTATTGGTAGTGCAGCTGACATGACCTGGGGTAAAACTATTAGTAGGCCGCCCATCCCCCAGCGGTCTTAGTTTAAAGCCCTGTCAAGAAGGTCAGCCATTCTGGCCAAGAAGACCTTCTTCTATTTCTTCTCTGCTGGCCCTTTACTCCTTGTCCTCACTTCCAACAAAGGCAGGGCAAACTATCTTGTATATTATGGAAGGGGCAGGTGAGGCAGAGTTTTGACATGAGAAAAGAGAGCAGAGGTGGATTTGGGAGTGACAAAGGTTTTCTTTTTTTGCAAAGGGTGTTTTGATGACCTTGAATTCTGTAACAAAGTGGTTAGCAAAAGGGATTACCACATCTTCTGGAAAAACAGAGTGAAGTATGACTCTCCATTAGTTACCATGGATACCCACAGTGGACATGAATGAGGTGTGAATGAATACTGACCTTTCAGATGCATCCCCCTAAAGTGGCCAAACAGGTCTAGGCCTGTCATTTATACAGAAATTCCATTGGGTTAACAAGTTACCCCAATGCATTAACATGGTCGTGGGGTAAGTTGTTACCCCATATGGAAAAACACATTCACACCTGGGGTAACATTTTACCCTGGGCAGTTTTTCATCCACAAAGATCAAACCATTCATGTAAGCTGGCTGTTCTTTGGGGATATTGTGCACTGCAGTGCCAGTGACAATGTCCTAAAAAGAAAAATGTTTAGAATTAATTAACTTTAAGATCCTGCACAAAATATGTCTGGGGTAAAAATTACCTGATGGGAATGTATGAAGGTTAAAGCTACTGAATCATCCATAATTAATACCAATGTGTTTCTGCTGCTCTTCTTGCCTATTGTCATTATTAGTCCTCAGGAGCTTTTGTCATGAATGTGCTCAGTTGTACTGTCCCTCTGAGTGGCATAGACAATGTGGTTGTCCTTTATGCAAAGTTACCATTTTCAAAAACAGGCAGTGTATTGAAGCTATGTGACTACTTCTTTTCCTGGCATGCCATATTTCTAAGGAGTGGATCCTGCCAATACCTGTGGGATGAGGTTATTACTTTCAAGAGCATTTCTAACCTGTTGCATAGGTTAACATTTAACCAAATAGCTATGCTGTCGGCATCTAACAACAGCTATGTTATGTTCATCATAATGTCTTTATCAAAGGTGTTAAAAGAAATAATAAGTACAAACAACTGGGTAGAACCCAAGACAAGAACACTTCCTCCTTTGGTCCCGCAAAGGAAGAGCAAGTGACTTTTTTACGACCACACAGGATGTCAGTGTCTAGGCAATGTGTTGAACTGGGGCCTCCTAAACTTCAAGCTAACTCTTGTAGATCTTGGACATGTTTCCTCCTAGCTGAAAAGATTATTCTGAGGTTAAACTTTGTGACAGAAGAATGGGGTACCTCTAGTTCTACCAAAACATTTTCATTTAGCCTTAGAACATTACATAATACATTTCTGTTTTCTCACTTATAAGATTAAGTAATAAACTTACTTAACTTGCATGAAAGTTTGCAGAACAATGAAATCTAATGAAAAAAATGAAATCTGATCTTTGAATGGAATGCAGTATTAAAATTTAAGGTACTTATATAATTTATTGTTATTAAACAATTACATAATGCCAATGCTTGCTAAAAGTTTGATTCGGACAGAATTTGTAAAAACTCACACTAACAGAATGTGAAGTGTAGCGTAATCAAATTTTATTATGATATTTGTTATTGATAATGTTCAAAACATTGCTTAATTTTGGTAGAAGTAATCCTAAAAAGTGCATCTTCTATTACACTTTTCCTTCCTTGAAATGCAGTCTGAGATTATTTCATTTGAGGTGAAAAGTATGTTAAGAGAAATTTGTTCAAATTAAGAACTAATTTAGAACAATTGAAAATGTGCTGTATTAATTTGACTTCAGTGAGAGCTCCAAGTTCCAAGTCTAGAACAACTGCAGGATGATTTCCCAACGTGTTATTCATTGCAACATAGGTAAGTAAGATTTTTTTTAAACTACATGATGTTTTAGTTGAGAGTTCCTTTGATTGATACTGGTAGTCATCTTATATATTTTCCAGACACAGGGTTTCAAGGACACTTAGAGGACACATTTAATGGCAAAATATTTTTAGCGTAAATTTCACCCAATGGTTGTCATAAAAATATTACTAACAAGCTTACAGTGACAACATATTTGGCAGATTTGATTTGTGTGGCTTTAGACCTTGATATTTGTGTATTTAAAAGCATACTCTTCCTTGTAGCTAGGGTAAAAATACCAACCTTCTATTTGCCAGTTGAAACTAAAATGATAACTTGCATAGGCCTAATTATGTTAAAAATCGTGCATTGGTTGATTGACAGAATCACTTATGAACAGATATATGCAAGCCATCATTTGGAGGTGATAGAATATTATTGTGCACAGTGTCTCCTGGTATTTCTTTATGATCTATTTTAAATTCTGAAACTGCTAGAAAGGACCTTGCTGGTCAACTTTATATTATTTGAAATATTTTGACTTTTGTGTCAGCTAAAAGAAATCTCAAACTCTTTCAATGTGATATACTGCCTGATAGAATGAAAATTTCACTCATGCCCTTGATCTTCACTCATTTTCACTCATGTCCTTTATTTTCCAAAAAAGGCCTCAAATATGGCAAAAGTAATTTTGCACAACAAGTAAATACAGGTGTGAATTCCAGGCAGAGCTAATTGTACTCATGCTTCATCAATTCAGATATTTAAATGTCTAATTTAGGGGAAGAATCGTGTAGCTAGGGGGTTTTAACAAGTGGCATTGTGGAACAATTTGAGGCTAATTAATAACTGTGACCAAAATGTGTAATTCCCAATTTCAAAACAAAACAAAAGAAAACGAAACAAATAAATATGTGGGGCTCTTCTTGTTGTTATAAACTTTTTTCTCCACAGGAGGATGAGCACCAGACTTTAAAATTCTATATTTCAGTAAATCATTAGAGATTTACCTTAGTTGGGAAAAAAAAATGTGTGAAGTGTTTTTTTTTTATACTCCAAGAAATCTCTCACAATTTAATATGCTGTGTTTCCATGAGATACATGTCTCCAAGGAAACAGAATTCTGAAGGCCCAGAAGAGGCTTCTAATATATCAGGTACAGTAAAGTAAATTCATCATAGAATTCCCCTATCTATAACCAAACTGAAGTCAACTCCCTACGCAATCATCAAAATGTTAAACGATAAACTTTCAGACACAATGATTTCAGAGATTACTTGTAAAAGTAGGAAAGTATGATACGGTCTTTTATTGAAATTCTTCTTATCGTGCTCTTTTAATTTTAGCAACTGGGAAAGAAACAGACTTGGAATCATCTTTTCCTCATATTTCCAGGAAGGATCTCCCATGTATTTTCAGTTCCTTCATCACTAAAGTTTTCAGTTCATTCATGGCTAAGGTTTAAAAAGTGGAAAACAAGGTCTGACTGACAATACCAGCAGCCACTGGATACTATCTTAGATTCTTTCCTTATCTAATCCAATTTAGCGTGCAGTTTTCTGGGTTAATCAGGTTTGTGATAATGCAGTCTCAAAGTTTAATCCTATGCTTTAAATGGTTTCATATAAAATTTATAATCTGTATTAAGTATCATAGATGTGAAAGTCTGGCACCAGTATGAAGATTGTATACCCAAACAGTAAAAAAATTCCAACTGCTTCAAAAATTATATTATTGTTTCTAATTGCATCATGTATTTAAATATAAGGTTTAGTTTTAAAATATTAATCATATTGTTTTTCACATGCCTTATGATATTGTTCACTTTTGATGGGAAACTGCCACTTCTAAATTGTATGTGATAGCAGCTGCAAAACCTGTGTTAAATACATTAGCATGTTTATTGTTAGTCTTCCCATTCATGGATCAGAAAGAACTTCACTTACCCTATTTTAGCTTATAGAGCTTTGGGATTGTCATTCTTTTCCCTTTCTTTTCAAGACATGCAGGTGTTCATGTTTTTCCCCATGTTCCTTGTCACTTACCTATCTCCTACATTCCCTTTCCTCCCTTCCTACACTAATCTCCGCTGAGTCTCTTCTCAGACACTCAACTTTGTTGTGCCTCCAGCCTTACTCTTTCTTCTGACCGTTCCTGGATTTTCTATAGTTTCCTGTTCTGTTTTCTAACACCCCCTCTCTTCCCACCTGCCTCTCTCCTCTTCCCTTCCTAGTCTCCATTCTTGACTAAAAATCTGTTGCCTCATGTGAGAGCATCCTGATTTCAGTCCCACAGGGAGATGATAGCCATGAGTTGGTTACCTAGATATCTGCTGAGGAAAACTTCACTTTCACCTACAAAGACTAAGGAGATACAGGAATTATCTTGTTAACAGCAGCCCATGATGTCATTACCATTAAAATATATGGTTGTTATTTTGGATAAGGACAATGAATCCAAGATTCTTAGCAAAAGCTGGAAAAAAAATAGCACTTTAAACTCCTCTTTCCAGCACAACATTTTGTTAGATTTGAAAATAAAATTATAGATTTGAAATAAAATTATAGGAGTTGGCAATGCCATAAGGATTTTCCTGAAAGGCTTTCATATTTTTAGTATGGTATGCATCTGGTGTTTTTGTATCAGAGCACCAAACCATAATTTTCCCTACTTAAATATTTTAAAAGCCCGGTACACCATTCAGCAGATGTACCCGGCTCACTTAGAGATAAAATTAAATATAAATTAAGTGACGTGTTATGCTTGTGACTTGATTCATTGTACATTTTACTGCTCAAGACAACTTTACAGCATTTTATCAGAAGCCCTCTTGGTTAAGATTTCCTAAAGCCCTTTCAGTCAGGTATCTATCTACTCTAGTATCTCAATGTACTTATGCTACATATAGTGGCAGGAATATATGAAGCTGTGTCAAAGTGGATCCATTCTTTTTTCTTCTGGGAGGACTCAGGGTAGAGTTGGTTGATTTAGCACATTATAGTCCAATTAAATAGGGATTTAGAGCCAAGTAAGACCAGGAAAATGATAGCAGCACGGCTCACCATCTGACTCCTCAGCAACATCACAGACATATGAAACAGGTTGAATATTAGAAGGAAAAAACCTGCATATGATCAATCTGTTTTTAACACATGTTATTCAGTAATGGGAATGTATGAAGACTACACTGTTAAAGCACAATCACTGGATTAGGCAAGAGTTGGTTCTGATAGACTTGAAGAACAGATATTAACTCTATCCCATGACTGGGGGTCTGTGACTATCTGTTGTAACTGAATTCATAACAGGGGTGTTCCCTGCTAAATGAATTATAATATACTGCTACATATAGTCTTACCTGAAGCTAGGAACTTCTCAGAAAATTCAGGCTGTAAGGAATGTGGAGGCCTGTTCGGAAGGAGTGCTTCCTACCTGGTAGATTTGTACGTTGTACTGGTATAGCCTGGCTTTCACTTTTTTTTTTTTGCTAAAGCTCAAATAATTGGTTTGTCTAAACTCCTTTTTGATGTAAATAATGGACATCAGAGTATCTGTCTTCTCCTGTTCATATTTGGCAAGGCACAGCTGGAGAGAAGGAGGCAAACTTATTTGTCTTGATTGAGAGGAATGGGGATTTTTGTTTTGATTTCCCAAGGCTATGCTTCAGCCTTGTATTCACTAGACAAACAAGTTAAATGCACATGCTCTTTGCTTTATTGTAATACATCCTGCATCTAAAAGTATATGCCTTTTGACCATGTTTCAGTTTGTGCTTGGTAGCTTAGACTTTTCTTGAAGTAAAATACATGTGAATCTGAATTAGATTAACTTCCCCATGTGGACAGCAGCCTCAGCTGCAAAAAAAGAAATTAGTTGAAATGGGCTGTGTCACACCACATTTTAGTCATTACAGAAAGGTATGGGCACCTATCTAACTTCTACTATTGGAAGTCTATTTACTGCATAAATAGGGATTTCCTGTCGCAAGGTGCTTCTAGGCAACCAAGTCACTAAGTCGGTGACAGAGATGAGTCTATAATTCTGGTATTCTTATATTCCAACCCAAAGATGTAACAAGCAGGGTTTGCTGCCTGGGTTACACATGCAAATGGGAAAGTTGGGGTGTGTAGCAGGTCACTAAGGTGCCTGCTACGGGACGTCGTGTTACGAGCTCAGCTGCCAATCACCAGGGCAGCACAGGTGCGGGTTGCCATGACAACCGGTCTGGTCAGCTGACCGGAAGGGGGCAGGGCCTGGCCTTTATAAACAGCATAGGCCGAGGCCAGAGGCCAGTCCCCCTTTGGCTGGCAAGGAGGTAGGAGCTCAAGAAAACCCTGATGGGGATGTATATGGAAACAAGCCAGGTTGGCTGGGAATTTGTTATAGCCCAGGGGTTTTGTGTTTTCTGTTTTGGTTGTTGTAGCACTGGAGGATAGGGTGAAGCTGTAGGGGTGAAGGAGGCCTCAATAGGAGCCCCCCAGTAAGGCATGAGACCCAGGAAAGGGGTCTGGGGGCCAGGTAAGGCTGAGGCCTCCTGATCCCCAATTGGGAGAAGCCCAGTGGGCGTAGGACCTGAGGAAGGGGCCTGGGGGGGCCAGGTAAGGCCGAGGCCGCCTGCTCCCTGAGCACGAGGAGCACGAGTAAGGTCCGAGTGCGGGCGGAAAGTGTGAGCACGGAGGGACAGGCCCCAGTGGGGGGGCAGTGTCTGTACATGGAGAAGCCCCCGGGGGGAGGGTGGGCGCATTGAGAGGCCCCCCCCCGGGGGGAGGGTGGGCGCATTGAGAAGCACGAGTAGGTGAGGCGTGAGAAAGCGAGCATCAGAGACACCGTGACAGGGAGGGAGAAAGGCAGCCTCCCTTCAATGAACAGAATATCAAAGACGTGGCGGGCGAGTGATCGAGGGTGCATGCCGAAAACCTAATCTGGCATGGAAGGAAGGAGGGTGAGGGGAGGTCACAGACCCCCAGACCCC